ACGAGAGACAGGTATAAAATGGTGAAAAAATTCGATGATAACTTAAAGCGGTATAATGTGGAGAAGGATTACGAGTAGAACGCGTACCTTTACGAAGGGCAATAGGAAGGTCGGACTCGTGGACGGAACCGGAGGAGGCAGAGTATTTGGCACCGGGAGTGAGTCATGTGGCGTCTGTTGTGGGCGAGGTCTGCGACTATAAACTCGAAGGGGTGGTGGAGGAGGAGGGGCTAATGGTGGATGGTCCTCAACATAAGGATCAATGAGAACAGGAATGGGAACTGTAGCGAGATGGAGACTCAGCAGGTAGGGAAGGGTCCTTAAAGTAAAAGGAAAACTCATTGAAGGTGACATCGGCAGACACAAAATAACGATTAAGAGAAGGAGAAAAACACTTGTATCCTTTTTGGGATCGAGTAAATCCTAAGAAAACACATTTGTGTGATCGAGGAGATAACTTATCATGACCAGGATCAAAATTGTGGACAAAACAGGTAGACCCAAAAACCTTCAGAGGTAAAGGATGGAGAGTGTCATGAGAAAATAAAATAGAATGGGGAATTTTGTTATCTAAAACCGAAGAGGGCATACGATTAATAAGATAACAGACAGTAAGAACAGCATCACCCCAAAAATGTTGAGGAACCTCACCATGAATTAAAAGAGTACGGGTTGTTTCAATAAGGTGTCTATTCTTGCGCTCAGCCACCCCATTTTGTTGAGGGGTATAAGCACAGGAAGTTTGATGAAGAATGCCATGAGAAGCCATAAATTGTTTAAACGAGTTTGAAAGATATTCACGGCCATTATCACTTCGAAAAGTTTGAATAGAGACACCAAATTGATTTTTAATTTCATGATAAAAGTTTTGGAATATAGAAAACAACTCAGAACGATTTTTCATTAAAAATAACCAAGTACAACGAGAGAAATCATCAATAAAAGTAACAAAATATTGAAAACCTAAATTAGACTTAACACGACTGGGTCCCCAAATGTCAGAGTGAACTAAGGCAAAGGGTGATGAAGCACGCTGGAAAACACTACGAGAAAAGGAAGTACGACTATGTTTACCTAACTGACAGGACTCACACACCAAATTGGACAACTGGGATAAGCTGGGAACAAGTTGTTGTAATTTGCGCAGACTGGGGTGACCAAGCTGAGCATGAAGGAGAGAAGGAGACTCCATAACTGTGCCAACATGTGGAGAAGGTTGAAGATAATAAAGTCCATGTGACTCACATCCGGTGCCAATCACTCTTTGCGAGCTCCGGTCCCGTAGGGAAACGAAGTTTTGGTAAAAGAGATAACACAATCAAGAGATCGAGTTAGACGGCTAATGGATAATAAGTTAAAGGGGGACCCGGGTACATACAAAACATTATCAATGGACAACGAGGGAAAAAGAGTAACCGTTCCAACACCATGAGCTAAAGTTGTAGACCCATTAGCCATTGTAACAGAGGGTAAATTATGAGAAGAAGTGAAAGAGGAAAATAAGGATTTGTTACCAGTGATGTGATCGGTGGCGCCTGAGTCAAGAACCCAAGGGCCAATAGAAGAAGAGTGAGTCAGACCAGCAAAAGATGTACCTGTGTGGGCAACAGAAGTAGTGGAACTGGAGGGCTTTCGATCCTCATACCATTGAAGAAAATCATTGAAGATAGCAGATTTGTCTGAAGGTACAGACGAAGGAGGATCCACAGCAGAGGATTGTGCGGAAGAATCAGTCTGAGCAACATCTAATTTATCAATGGGTAAATTCACATTGACATAATTAGTAAAAACAGATTGCTCAGACCCACCGGAGCTGACAGAGGTAACTTCAGAATTGGAAGTGGCAGCGGAAGATGCCATGGAGGAAGAGAGAGAAAAACCCTAAAACACCAAAGAAGTCCGATTGGAGCAGCGAGGACAGATCCAGAGAGAGGAGAAGGAGGCGACGTCGGCGCAAAGATCGGCGGCCTGAATGGCGGCGAGACGCGCCGCCACGCGCGGCGGAACGGGAGAAGGTGGCGCGGCTTCGGGAGGCGCGTGAGGGAGCGTGGCTGCTCCGATGACCGCGAAACTTCCACGGTGGAGGTCGCACGGAGGAGGCGAGCAAAACCCTGTGCTCGGCGGTCCGAACTGCTACTCTGGCGGCGGCGGCGGCGGCGGACGGCGGTGGCGACGGCGGCGGCGATGGAGGCGGCGACAGCTGCAGGTTCAGTGGCAGAGCCGAAAAAAAATCCCAAGAGACCTTAAGCTCTTGATACCATGTTGAATATAGGGAAAAACTGTATAGGGTTAATTTCCCTTATGTATTTACCACACATAGGGCAGTGTATTTATAATAAAGAAAGGTACTCCTCAAAAGAGTAACAGAATACAAATAGGGTAAATAAAAAGATATTATTTGATATTGTGATTAACAATATCTAACAATATCTCAACAATATCAAACAATATCAACTAATATCTAATCATATCTAACACATATCATGAACAAAATATACACAACCAAATACACGAGGAGAAACATGAAATAGTGACTCCTTTGGCAATAGAATAGTGTGTGAAACTTTATTGTCAAGAGAAGATGACATTCTGTTAATGAGAAAACATGCAGTGAGAATAACATCTCCCCAATGATGAACAAACATATTTGCACCTAGTAATAAGGTACGAGCAATTTCAACCAAATGTCTATTTTTTCGTTCTACTATACCATTTTGCTATGGTGTGTGAGGACAAGTAGACTGGTGTAAAATGCCTTGGGAACTTAAGAGAGTGGAGAAATCAGTAGAAAAGTATTCTTTGGCATTATCACTTCGTAAAACTTTGATTACTTTTCTAAATTGATTTTTTCGTTAAGAAATGACTTAAAGATAGGTAATAATTCAGAGCGGCCTTTCATTAGATAAATCCAAGTACACCTAGAAAACTCATCAATGAAGGTAACAAAATATCTATGGCCAAATGATAAGACACGATTAGGACCTCAAATATTAGAATGAACAAGAGAAAAGATGGAGTCACATCTAGATTCAGAACGTTTAGGAAAAGAAGACCTAGTATGTTTCCCTAGTTGGCATGATTCACATTCAAAATTTTGAAGAGTCTGAAGTTCAAGAACCATTTTTTTTAATCATGACAAGTGAGGGTGCCCTAAACGTTTGTGTAATAGTTTTGGAAATAAGGATGCAACACAGGATACAGATGATTTAGTCCCAAAGTAGTATAAGCTTCCAGATTCATGTCCTTCGCCAATCTGTCGACTTGTACCACGTTCCTCTATAACAAAAGATTTGGTATTAAAGGTTACTGAACAATTCAATAATTTGGTTAATTGACTTAGGGAAATGAGACGGAAGGGACATGAAGGAACAAAAAGAACAAATTTTAAGTTTAAAGACGGAGAAATGGAGACTTGACCAGTTCTTTTAGAGGCTACTTTGGATCCGTTGGCTAAGGTATTACCAGACGTGATTAGAAGCACCTGGGTCAATAATCCATGGATTTTGACTTTGTACAGATTGTGAAATGCAAGTTGTTGATGAATTTGGGGTTGTTGATGACTATGCTAGACTACTGGATTTCAACATCAAATATTCCTGATATTCTTTGTGAGAGAACTTGGGTTCAACCACTTCAGATTTGGAAATATTGACAGTCTTGTCAGGAAAACCGTGCAAAGAGTAGCAATTTTTCCGGATATGTCCCATTCTCTTGTAATGAGTGCACTGAGGATGTCCTCTACTTCCACGTCCTCCTCTAGTGCCACGACTTCCTCTTCCAACAGTAGAAATCATAGCAAAAGATTCAACAAGTTCTTGATTATTTTTTTTCTTTGAGAGTTGGAACACGAATTAGTTTTATAGTCAAACTTTCCATATAAGGAACTTCTTGTCCAGTCAAAATTTGATCTCTACCATAATCAAATTCTAAATTTATAGCCCGAGGAGTCATAACCATATAAAATTTATCCAACTTTTGCTTTATCTCTAACGAATCCACCTCTAGGAACATTTTTAATTTTTCAACTACTGATTGAGCTTCAACAATAAAGGTCACCATATCTTTATCCACTTGCTTGAGAGAGGCTAATCGATTAACGAAATCATAGAGTTGTTGGATATCATTTGCGAAGATATTCTAAGCCTTTTTTTGGAAAGAGTTACATGTTTTGAAGGATCTGAGAGTGTTCAAAATATTTGGTTCTACTGATTGTCACAATAGAGCATAAAGTTGATAATCAAGTTTTTTCCATTGTTGAGTCTGATCTTCTTGTATCTTACTTTCGTCTTCTTTTAAATGATCGTGAAACCCTTGTCCAAAGAACCAAAGTTCGTCGGAAAGTGGCTGAAAAGTGGCCCGAAAAGTGGCCGGATGGTGGCCTGACAGTGATCGGATGGTGGTCGGACGATGATCAGAAAGGTGGCCAGACGGGCAGATCAGGACCAACCTACTCTGATACCAAGTTAAGAGAGTTGAAAGAAGATTTATAATTTTGTAGGGATGCACTCCTCCACTCTATGATCTCATATATATAGGATTATAGCATTTAAAAAAACAACCACCAACTACTAATCACTAACCACTACCTAATAATAATTCTAACAATACTATATATATACTTTTTAATAAAATAATATTATTTTAATTTTTATTTAAAAAATAATTATTAGTTTATATAATGGGTCGGCTCATAAGTTTATGGATTAACTTGGCCTATACTCATATAGGTCATGATCTAAACGGACCTGATAAAAAAAGACTTAATTTAATTTAGGTCACAAATTTTTTTGATCTAACTTTCGGGTCTTTCGGGATGGCTTATCAAGCTAAGTCTATTTTAACACCCTAAGTGGTAGTCAAATATAGGAAGTTTCCAAAATCTGTCATAAAAACCCATCAAATAGTTACTGTAAAATCTAAGTTTAAAAACACACCAAAAAAATTATATTGGGAAGGATCAAGGTACACACTGGTATAACTAGCAAAACTTTAATTACAGGATGTCAATATGGGTGAACCTGGTAAACCTATTTAACCTACCGAAATGGGTTGAGTTGGGGTATTAGATTTGACTCGTCAACCTATGTAACCACCTCCCTCCCCCCCACCAAAAACAAATGGATCAAGAGATGGGTTAAGTTGTGTTTCTCCACTAGGTTGACTTTTTTTTGGATTGTTCGAGGTTATAATGACTATTGGACTCTAGAACTCTACTAACAGTTGTTGTATATGGGATATTTACTTGGCTAACAGTTTTTGTATCTCAAATTCTCACTATATTTATAGAGATTTGATCCCTTACAAGCCTTTTACCATGTTCAAATATGTTGCTGGCATGCAAACATAGTTGAGTGTCTTTATTTTATCATATTAGTATACTGGAATTGAAATATGTGGCAAATTTTACATGACAATTCTTTTAATGCAGGCCTCAATCCTGAAAGAAGAATTTAACATTGATTTGCGTGTAATGGGCATACTTGGTTCAAAGTCAATGCTTCTTAGTGATGGGTAAGTTGAATAATTCTGATTCAAATATCTTTTTGAATGCTAATTAGGCTTTCTTTCCTTATCTGAGTAAGCGGACTTCACTTTACAGTTCTCCCTTCATTTTGTTTTTGGATAGCTTTTTGGTTTTTATATATTATTGATGTATTCTTATTTAGCTAAAAGAAAATTATTATTAGAAGGAAAGAAAAGGTTGAATCGAGTTTCCTGAGTAAGTGGACGTATATAGTTTTACCTGAAATTTAGTTGTGTAAATTGCTCACAAATATGGTTCTATTATCACTTGTTTGTTTTATTTTTCTTGAAGAAGTATTATCAATCATAGAGATGGACCTCTTTTGTCTTTTAACTTTTAAGGAGGCCATAGTAATGTGACTAGGTCTATCATCTGTGCTTTATTAACAAAGTTTTTTTTTTTTTGTTCAATCACTATGTACTGTTATTGCTCTTTGCAGGGGCATTGACTTAGCTAGGTGGAGAGAACTTCGAGAGGAAAGAGGAGAAGCTGCTGATGTGGAAAAATTTGTTCAACATGTACATGGGAATCATTTTATACCCAACACAGCACTAGTGGACTGCACAGCTGACACTGTAATCGCTGGCTATTACTATGACTGGTTGCGCAAAGGAATACACGTAGTTACTCCTAACAAGAAAGCAAATTCAGGACCACTCGATCAGGTAAAGAAATGCATATTGTCCTTACGGTAGGGTAGTGTCTGTTATTGACTAATCCTGTAAGCAATGCTGTAGGATTTTTTATACTAAAACGCACAAAGCTATCTTTTCTGCAAGTACTCTGCTGGATATGGAAATTCCAATTTGGATAATTTATTTTCTATTTTTGTTTCTAGTTAAAGAATAAATCATTTAGAGGAAAGGTGAATTTCTTGTTTGTGATTTTTTTGGAAAGACCACATTTGTCAATATTAGGGAATTTCTTGGCTGTTTTCATTGTTATTTTTATCATTTTAGTCATTTATCCATTCACCGGTGGCAGCTGTCCTATTGTTTTTCTTTTGTTTTTTTAGAACCAAAAATATTATCTCGTGATTTTTTTTTTTTTGCAGCTGTCATATTTGCTAGTACCAGATTAACTGCTGTTTTACTGTCTAACAGAAGCTAATATACAATCACTTTAATGGGCTGGTTATTGCAGAGCAAGCTAATACAATCACTTTGATAGGCTAGTTATTACAGAGCAAGCTAATATACAATCACTTTAGTAGGCTGGTTATTTTGTAGTCTACTTATTACTAACTCTAAGGATTTTTCATACCTTTGTTCTCTACATCCAGTATTTGAGGTTAAGAGCTCTTCAAAGGCAATCCTACACACACTACTTCTATGAAGCTACTGTTGGGGCAGGTCTTCCCATTGTGAGCACTTTACGTGGTCTCCTTGAAACTGGAGACAGAATATTGCAAATTGAAGGCATATTTAGGTATATGCTTTGATGTGTTATTCATTATTTTTTGCCTTAGTATATGTATTCACACTGTCAAAATTGTCAAGTCATGCATGCAGCCTCGTTTGTCCAACCTCTTGCAATTTTCCCACTCTTAACACAAAAACAAATTAAAACATTTCTTTAACTAAAGTGGAAGTGCAAAAGTATCATTATGCCTTTGCCATCCCAACTGTGTTGGCACCATTAAACATCATCCATAGTCTGCAACATCCGAAAATCACATCAAAAGAAAAGAAAACAATACAAGAACAGTGGGGAACCAAATCAAACCGACTATCTGGCAACAAAACTATAAAAAGGTAACTCAAACCTATGTCTAAAATTTTCTGGAGAAATAAATCCAGCATATAATCCCACCAAGAATAACCCTGATACTTAGCACCATAATTAGCAAGTATATCAGCATGTTAGTTACTTTCCTAAAGATGTGAGTAAAATGTAAACTGAAGTGTGTACTTTTCTCTATACACTTAATCCTTCCATATCTAATTTGCAATGGAATTAATTTCTAGTTATGGAAAGCTTGAATAACTAACTGGGTCACACTCAATCCACAGTATATCCCAACCTTTAGAAATAACAATTTCCATGCTCAACACCCATTGCCTCAACATATAATGCATTTTAAACTCCCAGAAAAGCCAAGAATCATCCAATTATAGAAGCTCTATGGTCTCTAAAAATTCGACAACACCCTACTCACCCGGTGTCCTCTTTGCAGTACCATTTGTGTAACATTTCTCTCAAAAACTTGGAGGAATATTCCGCAGAACAGGTATGTATTGTGGAGCCTTCTTTGGATGTACCACAGCACCAAAACATTCCAATATCATCAACCCTTGGCCCAAGAAGTGCATGCATAATTTGTATCAGAAAAAATAATATTCTTAATTCTGTCATAATTTAGATGATATTTTGTGAATTATTTAATGTCTAGATGCATTATTCATTAATATTTACCATCCACCATAAGTATTTCCTTTGGCTCTGCAGTGGGACTTTGAGTTACATATTTAATAACTTTAAAGATGGCCGGGCTTTTAGTGAGGTAGTTGCTGAAGCAAAGGAAGCTGGTTATACTGAGCCAGATCCAAGGGATGATCTGTCTGGAACAGATGTTGCTAGAAAGGTACAGTGTTGTATATGTTTACCAAATTTTGTTGTCAAATGTTAGTTAATTCTTTTTGTGCATAAAGCTCTGATCCTTTAATTTGTTACGTGTATTGGTATTGGATATGTATCCTTTACCAATACCCTTAAATACTCCATTGATACATATGTGAGGTATTATGAAAATCCAATAAGCTAGCTACACGAGACAGAAATATGTAAGCATGTCCCTTAATGAACCAAAATGAAAATGATTCACTTTAGAAATGATCTCAAGAAAGGATTTGAGATTGATACCATTCCCATTTGTAAATCATTGGAAAGTTATTTATAATGACAATGATTGATAATTTTTATTTTGTTTAGTAACATCCAATAACTATGTTCTTAATTTGGATTGCAATTATATAGTTATTATGTTTTATAAATTGTTATACATATCTAAATATTTCACTTTTACGTATCATATGTGTTTCTAGAATAATCATTGTTTCATTGGACACACTTATGTGTCGCAGTTTCAGTGATGTGTAGGGTTTATAAGTAGGCTGTATTTTAAATGATCCAAATCCAAATTAAATATTTAGATATTATAGTTTTATTTGGTAAAATATTTTGAAGCTTGAATTCAGTTGAAGGCTAAAACATAAATTCGATCACATGTACCCATCAACTTCACAAATATTTCAATTCAAGCTCAATTTTTTCTTTGTTTTAAGATTTGAGATTCTGAAAATACTTAAAATCATCAGAAGTTGATAATATTATTAATATTCCTTTTTGGTGCCACTGCAGAGTCTGAGACAAAACTTGTGGGAATCAAAATTAGAACACAATTGAAGTATTAAATAATATTAATGCTAATGGTGCCACTGCAGAGGCAATATTATTAATATTCCTCTTTCTGAATCAAACTTTAACTTAATTGCTATGTAAAATAACGTAAAACTGATGTATGGTGACCTACTTTTATAGAAGTCCTATGTATTTTCATGCTGATGTGTGAATTGGGTGGTGCAAGGCCAACAAGAAAATAGTAAAAATGAGAATGTTGTGGAGGATTAGTGGTTTTACTTGATAAAATAGGATTAGGAATAATGAAAAAGAGAAAGTTGGGATAACATCCATTTAGCAAATGTACAATCTTCCACTAAGAAGAGTAGATCAGATGGAGGGTAGCCCAATTAAAACCATTAACGGTTAAGATTTAATAGCTTGTCTAAAGACATGTTGTTGACATCACCTAATGAGGATAATAGGACAAAGAGATTCAATAGTAAGGAAAAAAATCAATAATTAATAATGAGAAATATTTAATAAGATATTCTCCTATTTGATGCAATAAAATTATATCATTCTTCCCTATTTAATGTAATCAAATCATATTTTTAATGTTTCCCCTTGAGTTGGAGCATGTCTATGATGAGTCAAATTTGTTACAAATGTCATCAACATGAACATATTAAGAGACTTGTTGAACATTTTCTGAGAAAAATAGATTAACTGAAATATGATTTTTTATTATTATCTCAATACAAAGAGATGATATAAGATATATACAAGAGACCTAAACTATTTTAGGAAATATAATAACTCTATTTTATGCTAGGATCCCTTGATTTATGGGATTGTTCCTAATTATTCAAATCATGACAGATTACAAGGAAATATACAAATTTCTTTATTTATTCTTTCCTAAAATACTATTTGATTTCTCACACTCCCCTCAAGCTCGGTGAATAGATGTTTTCCATTCCCAGCTTGGATACAATCTTCTCAAAATTATGGCAGCCCAGTCCCTTGGTAAGAATGTCTGCAATTTGGTCTTGAGAGGACACATATGGAGTGCATATCAAGCCATTATCAAGCTTTTCTTTGATGAAGTGTCTGTCTACTTCAATATGCTTTGTTCTATCATGCTGCACTGGGTTGCGGGCTATACTGATTGCTGACTTATTATCACAATAGAACTTCATAGGTTCTTCCCACTTTATCCTCAAGTCTTCTAAGATGATTTTAAGCCATAGCAACTCACATATACCGTGCCATGGCTCGGAATTCTGCTTCAGCACTGGACCGAGCCACTACACCCTGCTTTTTGCTTCTCCAAGTCACAAGATTTCCTCCAAGAAAGGTGCAATATCCTGTAGTTAACCTCCTATCCACAATTGACCCTGCATAATCGAGCATCAGTATAGGCTTCAAGTTTCACATTACCATTCCTTTTGAATAGAATCCCTTTTCCCGGAGTTCCTTTAAGGTACTCGTAAAATTCGTGGGCAGCTTGTAAATGGGTCTCCTTTGGGCTATGCATAAATTGGCTAATTAAACTCACTTGCATAGGCAATATCTCGGCCTGGTATGTGACAAATATATAAGTCTGCCCACTAATCTTTGGTACATATCTTTTTCAACGAGCAACATCTTCTTCTCGCATTTCCAAGCTTTAGGTTTGGTTCTAATGGGGTACTAGCAGGTTTGCAAGCTGCCTTGCCAGTTTCCTTGAGCAAATCAGTGATGTATTTCTGCTGAGATATAAATATCCCTTTCTCGGAGTGGGCAACTTCAATTCCCAAAAAATATTTTAGTTTTCCCAAAGTCTTGATCCCAAATTCCTTGCCTAAGCATTGACTCAATAATTGTTGCTCTTCTTTATTATCTCCAGTTAATATTATGTCATCCACATACACCAATAATATTGTTACTCCCCCGACTTGGAATGTTTAAAAAACAAAGTATGGTCCCCTTGGCTTTGTTTGTAACCTGGACCTGTCATAACTTTAGTAAACCTGCCAAACCATGCACCGGGGACTGTTTTAACCCATATAATGCCTTTTTCAACTTGCAAACAAGTGTTGGTAGCAACATCTTTACCATATCCCGGAGGTATCTCCATATAGATTTCTTCTTCAAGGTCTCCATGTAGGAAAACATTCTTAACATCAAATTGTTCCAAGTTCCAACCATAATTGGCAGCAAGGGACAATGTCACCCTAACTGTGTTCATTTTGGCAACCGGAGCAAAGGTCTCCAAATAATCAACTCCATAGGTTTGGGTGAATCCTTTGGCAACTAGTCTTGCCTTATATCTCTCAATTGATCCATCAGCCTTGTATTTCACTGTATAGACCCATTTACATCCAACTGGCCTCTTTCCTATTGGTAAGGTGACTAACTCCCAAGTGTTGTTTTTCTCCAATGCCTCCATCTCTTCATCCATGGCTTGCCTCCATTTTCTGTCAGACAATGCCTCAGATAGGGTATTAGGTAGAAGTACAGTGTTTAGGTTTACTAGGAAGGTTTTATGGGTAGGAGAGAAATTTTTAAAGGACAGGTAATTTGAGAGAGGGTAGAGTGGCTGTTTGGTGCATTTTCTTGTTCCTTTTCTAATGGCAATTGGGAGGTCGGGATCATTTTGGGTTTCAATTTCAACCTCGCATACTGGAGAAAAAATTGTTACCTCTTTTTGTGGAGTCGAGTTGGATTCTTGAACATGGCTTGATCCTGGAATGACCTTAGTCTTCCTTGAGTACACCAGCTTCTTACCAAATTTTCCAGTTTCAACATCTTCTTGATCAGCTTCACAATTAATTTCACTTTCTTGACCAACTTCCTTTGCTTGACCAATTCCTTGACTTGTTTCATTTGTTACAACTTCAATTTGATCTTGTTTAGGTTCAAATATCAAGTCTGGAAGAATGGGAAAACCAGAATTACTACTTTCAATATGATTTCGTTTAGGTTCAAATGTCAAGTCTGGAAGAATGGGAAAACTAGAATCACTACTTTCCTTATCTTCCCTGAAACTCTCCCCTTGAAGATAAGGTTGATGGAAATAGCCCTCTTGTTCATTGAAGGTAACATCCCTAGACATAGAATTTTTTGGATGGGGGGTGGTAGCATTTATACCCTTTTTGAGTGGGTGAGTAACCAACAAAGACACACTTTAAGGCTCTAGGATCAAGTTTTCCCCGTCTCGTACTATGAATATGGACATATGAGATGCACCCAAAAACTCTTGGTTTAAGATTATTTGTAGTAGACAAGTTTGGATAGAAAGACGACAAAACTTCCATAGGGCTTTTTGATCCTAAGACTCTAGAGGGTAGTCTATTGATAAGGTATGTTGCTTGTAAGGACAACTTTCCCCGTAAATTTTTTGGGACACTTTTTTGGAACAACAATGCCCGAGTCCGATTTAATAGATGTCCATTTTTCCTCTCTGCGACCCCATTCTCGTTGTGGTGTTTTGACACAAGAGGACTCATGAATTATACCTTCTTTTTGACAAAAAGAATTAAGGACATGATTGAAGTAATCTTTGGCATTATCCGACCTAAGCCTCTTAATATTAACACCAAACCGATTTTTTATCATGGAGTGGAAGTTTAGGAAGACAGTAACCGACTTCGATTTTTGTTTAAGTAGGAAAACCCAAGTGACCCTTGTACAGTCATCTATAAAGGTGACAAACCATCGAGTACCGGACACATTTGGAATATTAGAAGGTCCCCATACATCGGTATGAACAAGATAAAAAGGGAAATTGCTAATTCTATTACTTATTGGAAAAGATATACGTTTGTGCTTAGCAAGTTCACACACCTCACAATGAAGACTCTCAACATCTAACTTGGTAAACAGAGAGGGAAATATAATTTTGATCACTCCAAAAGAGGGATGTCCCAACCGACAATGATAAAGCATGATTTTTTCTCTCGTTGGTCATCAAGGATTCGAGATATGAAGGAGTGAGAGATTCTATTCTTGCTTGGGCAGACTTGGATCTTCGAGATAATAAAGGCCATTCCATTCTCTAGCATGTCCAATCATCCTCCCCGAATCCTTATCCCGAAATACACAATGATCGTTGGAAAAAACAACTTTACATGACAAATCCTTTATAAGTTTTTGTATAGACACTAGGTTCGTGGACAACTTTGGGACATGGAGAACGTCTTTTAAGGTTATTAAAGGATTGATTTGGATATTTCCTTGACCAGCTGCAGTTATAAGGGTTCCATCTCGCTGTGGCAATTTTCTTGTTGCTTGGGACATGGGGAATATGTGGAGAAGTGTTTGGCTAATGGTGTCATGTGATCTCGTGGCTCCGAGTCCAATATCCAATAATGGTTAAAAGGCGTATCCGAGACATTTAATCCAAAAGAAGGTGGAAACTTACCCGAGTATGCCAAAGAACACATACCTGTAGGTTTTTCCGAGCTTACTAAGAATGGTTTTCACCCTTTCTATCTCTTCTTCCCTTGACATTATAGCAAAAAGGTGCGATGCAACAACAATGCAGGTCGTCGTCTTAGGATTATGAAAAATGCAAGCAGCAATGCAGGTCGTCGTCTTAGGATTAAGAAAAATGCAAGCAGCAATGTAGGCTGCCGTCTTAGGGTTAAGAAAAATGCAGCAGCAATGCAGGCTGCCGTCTTAGGGTTACAAAATATGCAGCAGCAATGCAGGCTGCCGTCTTAGGGTTTATCGAGCGCAGACAGAGCTTCCTAGATCGGAAGCTCTGATACCATCTGAGAAAAATAGATTAACTGAAATATGATTTTTTATTATTATCTCAATACAAAGAGATGATATAAGATATATACAAGAGACCTAAACTAGGAAATATAATAACTCTATTTTATGCTAGGATCCCTTGATTTATGGGATTGTTCCTAATTATTCAAATCTGTACAGATTACAAGGAAATATACAAATTTCCTTATTTATTCTTTCCTAAAATACTATTTGATTTCTCACACATTTCAATCAGTTGGAGCTAACAAAGTCAATAATGACAGCTTCACGTATCAATTTGGTGTATGTGTGTGAAGATGTTGGTGGTAGTTGGCCGTAAGGTATACAACAAAGTGGTTGTCAGAGAAGGATAACTTGGATTGTAGGGTCACGTTAGAGGTCAGATGAAGCAGTTGTGGTCGTAGAGAAAACAAAAATGTTCAAAAGGCATGATATTTACCGGACAGCAAATATTGCTGAGCGGACACACTGATTGCCATAGAGCAAGGGTGCTCAGAGGGCATGGTGGTTGCCAAATAATAGAAAGCAAAAATGTTACAAAGAGTGAGAAAGTCACAGTGACAACGTGGGGGTTAGTGCCGTGCCTAGGAAAAAGGTCATGGCCTAAGGATTAGGGACAAAACAAGTCATAGACGATGATACCAGGCTGAAGCCATATTTAATGGACTGTTTGTAATTGTATTTTGTGTATACACAAGTATTTTTATTTACAAAGAAAAGAACAATAATAAAGAGAAAAATCAATAATTAATAATGAGAAATATTTGCTTAGATTCCTATTTAATGTAATAACATCATATCATATTTTCCTATTTAATGAAATCTTCTCTTTGACAATTAACTACAATGTCAATCTTGGTTAGAATTTTTATGCTTCATGTAATCCTGGCAGTAGCCATTTAAATTCAACATCACGAAGCTGCTTTGGTTCTACAGGTGATAATTCTTGCTAGGGAATCTGGTTTAAAGCTAGAACTATCGAATATTCCAGTTGAAAGCCTTGTGCCAGAACCACTACAAGTAAGAACCAATTGCTATTGATTATGCAGTTTTCAGTTGTCGTGTCTAGCATTTTGATTGACAAGAATGTTTTGATGATTCGGTACAGGTTTGTGCATCAGCTCAGGAGTTTATGCAAGAGCTACCAAAATTTGATGAGGAGTTCACAAAGAAACAAGAAGATGCAGATAATGCCGGGGAAGTGAGTTATTATCTGCTTCTTCCCTGCATAATTCATGCACCAATATCTTAGGATTTGTCTTGTTTGTGAAGACTTTTTTATTAGAAAATCTGCTACTACATTTTCATTTTTTTTCTTTATTTTCAAAGATTTGTACAGGTAATTATATTGTAAATTACGTACCCTTGTGCGTAGTGCATGAGACAAACATAAATTAGCACTCATTTGACATGCAGTTGGTGGGTTAGGCATTTCTGATAGAGTCATGACATGCCAAAACACCCATGTTTTGAATATCAAATATTTATCTGGTTGGTTAATGAAAACTCTTCAACCTGATTGGAGGAAGCTTGTATATATTTTAATCAACCTAGATTTCCATATAGATAGTGATTTCACGGAAAAAAAAGTATGACAATAGATCTATGTTGGGTTTGGGGGTTCCTGTTTGTGTGTCCTTAACTATATAAACGTATACTTTTCATGATAACATCTCTCGTGCATATATTAATGTGTCCTTTGAAAAAAGTACATACATTTTTCATGTCCCTCGCACATAACTCTGAGATTGTTATATTTGAACTCTGAAGGTCTTGAGATACGTGGGAGTGGTGAACGTGATTAATGGAAAAGGAGTGGTAGAGCTGCGAAGATACAAGAAGGATCATCCGTTTGCACAATTGTCTGGGTCGGATAATATTATTGCATTTACAACAAGAAGGTATAAAGATCAGCCTCTGATAGTTCGTGGGCCAGGAGCTGGTGCTCAAGTCACAGCTGGTGGAATATTTTCTGATATTTTACGACTTGCCTCATATCTTGGTGCTCCATCGTAAGTGTCATCCTGCAAGCATAATTTTGTATGATCTCTCTGTCTATCTTCCTTTGATTAGTAGGTTATTTGCTTCTTTTAACGTCTTTGTAATTTAGGTTAGCGTGTTTTCATTATCTTTTGTTTGGAACACTAACGAGGGAATGGAGCAGAATTCCATTACCCTATTGCGAGTTATATTGTAAAGGAGAGAAAATTAACAGAAATATTCTATTTTATGTATATTTTCTTATTTTGAACAAAGAAGCTATATTTTATGTTTATATAGATGAAGTTCATAGTGGTAAATGATTTATGAATGTGTATCCTAATATTTTATTTTAGTAATTGTTAGTAACTAATAGTCAGCGTTTTATCATTGATTTTAAAAGTAGAATAAGTTTCAAATTGATTTAAAACTTTCATTTCATTTCTTAATAGATAGTAAATGCTGAGGGTGTTTAAGATTTTGTTTGATTTGAATTTTTAATATATATATATATATATATATATATATATATTAATGCATTAATTTTTATTGAGTTTAAATTAAGGCATTAAATTTGTTTTTATAAAATTGATAATAAAAATATTATATATTCAATGATATTTTTTAAAATAACGACATGTACTTTATTTATATATATAATTGTTGTCATTTCTTTCATATTTATTATTAAATTATAATGCTCAATGAAATCTAACAATTTTGATTAGTCATGCCTTTTTTTTCATTCATTTTTAATTAACTTTAAATAGACACATGAAAAAAATCTGAGTGAAATTATTTTAATAGAATTTTTATCTTTTGTAATGATCAATAGTTTTTTATTAATTTGATTTTGAAAATTTGTAATAAAGATAGAAAACTAGTTAGTTGTGAATGATGTTGATAAAAATGGCGTTTTCTCCTTGGTTTTTTAAAAACAAAATGTGTATATATATTTCAATAAACATTATAATAAACATTTTGACGGTTGATTTTGAATGTTAAATAATATATTAGTAGTAAATAATAAATAAATATGATTAATAAAAAAGAGTTAAATAATATATTATTAATAAATAATAAATAAATATAATAAATAAAAAAATAAAGAAAATAAAATTATAAATATTAAAATAAATATAATGAATAATTATCAAATTTAGAGACTAAAATTATAAATTAATATAAAACTTTAGAGGAATATTGACCTTCAGCTTCCTAGTCAACATTATTACATAATTTAAAATAACAGAGAAAAAGTATAATTTATGTATCTCAACGAGATTTATATATATACATAATTTAATCTCTATTTTAATTGAGTAAATTTTAAAACTGAATATTACGTGCATTTTAAGGACATGAGATTTTAAAAAAAATACTAATATATCTAAAAAATAATAAAAATAAAATAATATTTAATTAGAAGTAATTTTCTTTTAATAAATAATAAAATATTTTTATTACATTATATTTAAAAATAAAATATTTGAACAGTGAAAGAAATTGAGCAATTTTTTTTTTTTATCTCTAATTTTGTTTATTTTTATTTTACTACGTTCTACCTTTTCAGCGCTTTTTAAATTTTGCTTTAATTTGACATTTATTTGTATTGTCACTAGAGAGTATTAAATTGTTTTTTCTCATCACCAAGTATTTCTATTTGGAGTGGTGGAGTGAGCAAGTTCATTGACGGTAGGGAAATTTAATTTGTTCCAAGATATGTTCTTTTAAGATAAAACCATAAAAGACAAGAATTAGGAAATTTTCATTTGTCATGCTTCCTCAATTAACAGATTGATCTCAAAATAAGTTGAACTTTGATTTGATTGTTTTATAAATCTCAAAATAATTAATGAAAAGTTCGGGAAAAAGCATTGGTATTTGGAAGTTATTTTGAGATTTAAAATAATTTTGATTTTAGTTTCTCAATTTTTAAAAAACTGTTTAATAATTAAAAAAAAGATTTTAATCTTTAAACAATAAATTTAGAAGATCAAAATGAATTTTTTAAAACTGTTTTTAATCCTTTAAATTTATTGTTTAAAAATTAAAATCGTATTTTCCAAATTTGAGGGACTAAAATATATAATCAAACCTTAAAAGTTAAATATAATAATTACCAACAAATTTGTATTTTTAACAATCAAATTTTATTTATTTTAATCTAGTCCTATGTTACGTATTTATATTCGATACTTTATATATCAGATAAATATGTCAACTAAAAAAATACGAATAAGATAATTTAAAACTTAAAAAAAAAATTGAAAATTGAATCACAAAAAGAACTATAACAATGCTTTTCTCAGCTTCTTAAATTTCCGACTCTTTTTTTTTTTTTTAAATGTCAAAATAAACATTATCTACTATGATAATGTATTATCATACAAATCTTAAGGATAAAAAATGTCTTATATGGTATACTATATATGTATAGGAATAGTCTTCAAATCACATAGGTCTAGTTTTTATTTGCGCTTCAATATATCATTATTAGAAAGTGATTATTTGCAAATCAACATCAACTATCTTAGGAGACATTTTCAAACAACAAACAAGAAAACAATTATTATATAGACAGAATTTGAGACTCTTACTAGTACAAAAATGTGCTTTTTACGTCAGGTATTTAGGGTTTTTTACGTCGTATTTAAGACTGATGTTAAAACGGGAGACGTAAATTTACGTCAGTTATCAAGACCCGACGTAATTTTGCGTTGCATATACCGCTAAACAAACGTAAAAACTTTCAGAAATAAAAAAAACCCAGCAAATTTACGTCGCATATTGATATACCAAATGGACTCAGAAATTAAAAAAAAACAGCAAACTTACCAAATGGACTATCAAATGCACCATGATATCAAAAAATGAAGGGGGAAAATACATTTCTAACTGACACACTATTACAATTGCTTCATTTTCTAATTCATCTAACTTTTTTGGATCAATTACCTTTTTACAAATGGCGTTGAAAAACAAACATAACCGAGTAATAACAATTCTAACAGAAGTTGGTAAGATGTTTCGAATAGCCACTGGTAAAAGTTGTTGCATCAACACATGACAATCATGAGACTTTAAACCAACTAATTTCAACTCTTGCATAGACACAAGACTCTTAACATTTGAGGAGTATCCTTGTGGCACTTTGACCTCACGTAAACACTCACAAAAGCTTCTCTTTTCTTTCTTTGATAGAGTATGACAAGCTGGAGGTAAATAAGTGCATTTTCCAACTGATTGTGGATGTAATTCAGAACGTATACCCATGTCTGCGAAATCTTGTCTCTCTTTTATTCCATCTTTTGTCTTTCCTTTTATGTTAAGCAATGTCCCAATTATCACAAACATTTTTTTCAACATGCATCACATCTATACAATGTCTAACTTCCAACTTACACCAATAAGGAAGATTGAAGAATATAGATTGTTTCTTCCAAATGTTTTTCTCAGTGGATTTCTTTTGGGTCTTTCCAAACACAATATTAATATTTTTCACTTGCTCATATACTTGTTCACCATTGCATGGTACTGATGCAACTGCATTCTACTGACATCCATTAAATGCTTTTTTCATTTTACGATATGGATGATTAGCAACTAGAAACTTTCTATGCCTATTGTACGCAGTTTTTTGTCCATGTTTCAATTGGATATAACTTGTGTCTTCTTGACATAAAGGACACGCTAAATGACCTTTCACACTATAACCGCTCAAATTACCATATGCTGGAAAATCATTTATAGTACAAAATAACATTACACGCAACCTGAAATTCACTTCGTGATATGAATCAAATACATCCACTGTTGTTTCCCACAACATCTTCAAATCATCAATTAAAGGACTAAGATATACATCTATGTCATTTCCTGGTTGTCGAGGTCCTGAAATCATCATAGATAACATCATATATTTTCTCTTCATGCATAACCAAGGAGGCAAATTGTAAATGATCAACAAAACTCGGCCATGAACTATGTTTATTACTTAAATTTCCATAAGGATTCATCCCATCTGTAGCTAATCCAATTCTCAAGTTTCTTGGCTCTGCACCAAATTCTGGAAAGGTTTCATCAATCCTTTTCCATTGTGGAGAATCAGCTGGATGTCGAAGAAGATTGTCACATTTTCTACCATTTGCATGCCATGTCAAGTTTCTTGCATATTCTTTTATGGCAAATAATCTTTTAAACCTAGGTATAATTGGCAAATACCATAACACCTTAGCAGGGGGACCATCTAGTTCTTCCTCACCACTACTTTCCTCAACTTTGTTTTTGAACCTCGACAAACCACATGTCGGACACATCTTTAATTTAGCAAAATCGTTTCTGTACAATATACAATCATTAGGACATGGATGTATCTTCTTGTACTCTAAACCCATTGGACATAATATTTTCTTTGCCTCATAGTTACGAATAGGTAATGTATTATCTTCAGGAAGCATCTCCTTCAACAACTCCAATAATTCAGTGAATCTTTTATCAGTCCATCCATTTCTTGCTTTTAAAGTAAACGATTTTAAAGTTGCTGATAATCTTGTAAAACTACATCCTATGTACAATTGTTGCGCAAAATCAGATTTCAAAGAATCATATAGACGTGCTTTCATAAAATTTTCTTCACCAATATCACGTATCATATCCTCTAGATTATCATCCATCCCTTCATCAAAATTGTTTGTAGTTGACATAGTTGGGATGTCTAATATTTCTCCACGCCATGTCCATATTGTATAACTCTTAATAATACCATAAACAAACAAGTGATCACGTATATCCTCAAGTTTATGACGAATTTGATTCAAACAACGAACACATGGACAATAATATGTCCCTTTCATAGCTTTTCCATTTTCACTAGCAAATTTCAAAAATTCCTCAACTCCCTTTTTGTACTCTTCACTAATACGAAGTGCATTCATCCAACTTCGATCCATATTATGTTATAAAGTTTCGTCACTCCTAGAGATTTAAAAATTATATGTAAAAAGAAATTAATATACAAACAACAAAGCACGTAAATGGAGTGTGTAAACCGAAAATGCACTCAAACAAATAATTACATTCCAATAACAATCCAGTGGAGACATTCATACAATAACGTGATTGAGATCCCCAAAAACAATCACGGATTCAATTTAAACATATAGCAATGACATAGAACACTAACCTCGAGTGTAGATGAAAAATGATTTCAAACTCGAATCCAATCAGGGAGAAATATCAAGTTCGTCAAATGACACACAATGGTGATGTTTTTCACTGTCAAACTGATCGAAAATGGTGTGCAGAGGTAGCTGTTGTCGTCGTTCTCGTCGTCGTTCTCAAAAACCCTTGCTGCGCGAGACTAGGGAGGGTGGTGGGAGGGAAATAAAAGAGACTTTTTACGTCGCACACCCCAGCATGCGACGTAAAAAGCCTCTTTTACGTCGCACCTACGTGGCGTGACGTAAAAAGAAGGCTTTTTACGTCGCGTGGTGGGGTGCGCGACGTAAAAAGCTATCACTTTTTACGTCGCGCACCCCACCACGCGACGTAAAAAGTCTCTTTTACGTCGCGCCACGTAGCTGCAACGTAAAAGAGGCTTTTTACGTCGCATGCTGGGGTGTGCGACGTAAAAGTTTTGTCTCTTATTTACAAAATTGCCACCGCATTTTATTTACGTCGAATATTTTTACATGCGACAACAATTGGGTGACGTAAAAACCCCTTTTTGCACTAGTGTCTTACTCATCGTCATCATCTAAACTCATACTTTAGAGGCAATTTTTCTCAATCAATTATACCAAAACTCTTATTGGATGGTACACAAAACAACCAAATATAATCAATACCTTGAATTACATAGTTTCAGTTTATTGTTTACTGGATTACTTATATTAATAAAAAAATCTCTTATTGGCATTTTAACTTATTACTAGACTAAAATTTATAATTGATGATCAAGATGTAATTATTTTACTTAAAAAGCCATAATTTTATTATAATCACTTAATTTACCTAGGCTCTACCACATCATAATTGATGATTTTGCCTTTGATGTTAATGGTTGGATCCACATTTACTACCAAGAAAAAAAGTTATAGTTAGTTGTCATTCGAGGACTTTTTCTATTTAAAAGTACAGAAGTCTAATAAGCCTCACAATTTAGTGTGACTTTGCCCACTTAACCTTCCCCTAGGACAAGGTACACTTCACAACAATCTTCTAGTTGAAATTTGATGCAACCTTCAACATTCTCTAGTTGAAAAGGCTAGACATACAATACCTTACTTAAATCTACTTATAGCCTATTTTAAAATTTAAATCTCTTCTAAATCATTTATCAAGATTTTACCATTTCTTTGATTTATGTATAACATGCATTTAAAAAAATATTTAAATAATATGTACACAAGATGGTTGAATCTAATTTATCACATGGGAAAATTGATAAACTATGTACATAACGATACAATTTTTATTAAATATGAAATGAGACTTTAAGTTTTTTCATTCAATTTATACCTTTTTTTTCTAAATATATTTTTTTTTATCATTGATAGTGTAACGACCCTAGAAATCGCTA